TTTTTTTTTTTTAAATTGAAAAGGTTTTTACGTCTATTTATTGTATATGCCACGCAAAATTACGTCGTATCTTCATAATCGACGTAAATCTACGTCGGGTAAAAGGGTCCGACGTAAATTTACGTCTCCCGCTTTTACGTCAGACTTAAATACGACGTAAAAAGCCCTAAATACCTGACGTAAAAGCCCCTTTTTGCACTAGTGAGAAATGAAAGATGCAGGAAAAAATATATACAAATCCCACTTTATTTAGCTAAAACAAAGATGACACAATACCAACACATTGGTTCCTATGTGAATATTATTACCTTGTAATTTAGTGATTGATTTGAAATGACAAACCTGTTCCAGTTAATTTTTCTTCAACAATTTTAGACAATTTTTCTATCATAGAAGGAGAAAAGTAGTTTATCCAATCTCCTATTTCACCCTTTCGAAAAAGATATCTTTTATCTACAACATTGTCAAAATATCCCATCTTATTCACTTTCAAATCCTTCATCTTCTCAAAGCTGCAAAGTTTGATTATGCTTTTAATATGTATGTTATTCTCTCCTTCTTCACCAATAGGACAACCCAAGAATTCAATAATTCTTTTCACATGAAATTCAGTATCTTCTTTAAGATCCTCATATTTCAAGAACATTACTTTGTGTGGTCTAGCTATACTCTCCTTCCAGTAACCTAACATATGACTCCACCATGGGCCAAACGCCATAATACCATCGCAAAACTTCTCAAATGCTTCCTCCATTGGTAACGTAGGTAAAGACACTGACTTGGCTTTAGGAAAGAACTCCCAAGCTGAAACAAAAATGTCAAATGGATTCCTACAGATATAAATTATCTTACAGTTTGATTCTTTAAAGGACTTGGGTAATGAAAGGAATGGTGTGTGGATACCCAAAAGCCTTGGCTCACTAATGTTGGATAAGTGAAGAATTTGGTGATGGATATCACGAGACAGAGTCAATTCAAGGAAAGGCACGAGTTCATGAGGATTGGAAGTGAGTAATGGATGGTTATCGAAAGAGGAACAACGTTGATGGTTCAATATGGCAAAAGTAAGAGCTTTCAACCAAGTAGTACCTGATTTTGGAAAGCTGACAATAAAAACATCATTATCTTTTGCTTGGAAATATTTTTGAAAATTGTATGCTCCTTGAATACAATATGATGGGCACCAGAAGTCTTGAAACGAGATGGAGAGAGGGGGCTCCACCCAAACCTATCTCTTGAGGAAGGGAGCGAATAAGCTCATTTTCTTCATTTGCATGTTGGTCACTTGCCAAAGCCATGAGAGTAGGTAGAATATGAATTACGCTTATGAATAATAGAATCGGATGAAAATATGGCTTGGCTTAAGATAGCTTATATAGAAGTAATTAGTGGTCCATGTTCATTAGAAGAATCAAATCATGAAATATTTGAATACAAGATGATGGACATAAAAAATCTTGAAATAGACTTAGATTGGGTTTGCAGCCAAACCTATTCTCTAGAGGAAGGTAGAAAATTAACTCATTTTCTTTGTTTATTTGTTGCCTACCTTTGAAAGTCATTGAAGTAAGTAGAATATGAATGGTTATTTATCATAAGGAAGAACACAGAAGGGTGCAACTTATGCATTGTTAGGTCAAACTTTTGTAAAATAGAAATTGGGACAATCCAATTTAATCATGGTAACATCATCATCCTATCTCTCATCTTCAAAGTACACCAAAATATTTCTAAATGAAATGTTGATATTAATCATTGGGAAGGATAATTGATACAACATTTTGGTCGTACAAAATACTGATAAAAATAAATAAATAAGTTGCTAAACTAATGCAATATAGTTAATCCATGTCGAAGATAGCAGTGGCGGATCTTCTTGGGAGTTGAAGGGGCCGTTGCCCTCCCCCCCCCCCAAAATTTTGTAACTCCAATGTAATTTATTATTTTGACCCCCTCCAAACATAATGAACATTTAATATATTTACTTATATATTTACAATTTTATCCTCTCAGACCTCTCCTCAGTCTTGTAACTCTCATATAATTTATGATTTTGTTTCCCTCAAACTTAATGATCATTTAATATATTTAAGTATATATCTTGAATTTTATCTTTTCACCCTTTCATCTTCTTTCTTTCTTTTATATTATTTATTATTTATTAATAATATATTATTTAGCCCCCCAAGATCAATGGTCAAGATCTGCCACTGGAAGATAGCATTATATTTCAAGTTTGGATGGTCTCTCCAACTATAATTATATGTGGTCAAGTATGGGTTGTACTCCTGTTATGGGCTATATGAATTTAATTGCCTGTAATGTTATTGTTCAGGGAATATATCGCCCACTGCTTCCCTAATTAAGCTTGGTGTTTCCTAAAGTTGAAGACATACATAAGTGGGATGATCTACGAAGATGCATATCCTACATACATATGTTGTTGTTGAAATGTGTGTTGGTTTATGGCCAATTGTCGTACCAAAGATGTTAATTCGTCCAATGTTCTTTCAAAGTTCATATCTTCAAAATCACTTGTTTACTGGAATGACAATGGTAGATTGTGAACAAGTACACCAGGTAGGTTCCCAAAAAAGAGAGGTGAGTCACTAATGGACACACTTAAGCAGTGGCGGATCTTGATCATTGATCTTGGAGGGGCCAAATAATATATTATTAATAAATAATAAATAAATATAAAATGAAGTAAGAAGATGAAAGAGTGAAAAGATAAAATTGTAAATATATACTTAAATATATTAAATGATCATTAAGTTTGAGGGGGACAAAATCATAAATTATATGAGAGTTACAAAGCTGAGGAGGGGCTACGAGGATAAAATTGTAAATATATAAGTAAATATATTAAATATTCATTAAGTTTGGGGGTCAAAATCATAAATTACATGGGGGGGGGTCACGACCTCCCTCAGCTCCCAAGAAGATCCACCACTGCGCTTATATACCAAGTCTTTCCTACCCAGAACCCTCTTACACATGCACTCTCACTACCAAGTTATTTCTTGCAAAGCCTATTTTTAGCCTTGTTGTAAGCCATGTTATTGTTAGCATTTTATCCGAAGCTAGTTTCTTTAAGTACCGCTGGGATAATTGAACTTGTGCTCTTGAGCTTTTTTCCTTGTGATCCAACTGTTAGGATCGAGCGCCTACCACTAGGCCAAAAGCTATAGCTATTAGTCAGAGCGTAACTCTTTTTACTTAAGAGTAACAGCCCAAGCGCCACGATTCGATTGTGACTCGGCCCACCCGGTCTCCGCCACAGGACAATTGATGCTACCTGCAACGATCTCCCCCTTAGCAATTGTCCTACGAGGAATCCCACTTGGATTGTGATTTGGCCCATCTAGCCTGCGCCACCGATTGTGACTTGGCCTACCTAGCCTGCGCCACGGGACAATTGTGCAACCCGCAACAATCTCCCCCTTAACAATTGCCCACCAGGAATCGAACTCGTGACCTTGGCTCTGATACCAATTGTTAGACAAATGGCATCTAGAGGGGGTGAATAGATGCACAAATTAAAATAGATGTCAAATTAAAAATTTATTTGTGAGTCAATAATTTGTTAAAGTGGAAGCAATAATATAATTAGGAAAAGAGAAAGAGATAAGGGAAAGAGAAGAGCACACAGAGATTTATACTGGTTTGGGTATTGCCAACCCTACATCCAGTTCCCAGTCAACTCTTAAAACAAGAGTGACTCCCCATTCACTATCTTTCAAATTCAGTTTACAAATTACAATCAACTCAGCAAAAGAACCAGTAAAAAGTAAACTAATTAAAAAGACAATTACCTCCTTAGAAACCCACTAAGGATGAACACCTCCCTAGAATCCCACTAGGGATGAACACCTCCTCTGAACAAATCAAAGGATGAAAGACACCTCCTTAGAATCTCACTAAGGATGAACCCCTCCCTAAAATCATACTAGGGATGAAAAACACCTCATTTTCCACCAATGCAAAAAGGATGAAGGTAATAAAAATAAGAACAGACACACCTGGGTAATGGAGACAACAAATTGTAGAAGTCTGTAGAATGCCAATCTCCAAGAACAAGTGTGATTAACAATGAAAGCACAGAAGGCAGTAGAGAAGAGGGTTTTCTCAAAAGGTGTAAAATATATCTATTTCCTTGCTCAGAATTCTTTTCTCAAAACTAATTGAATGTAAATTGTATTTTTCGAATTCTGTAATTGTGTGTTTTTTATTTTTCATCAAAACTTAATTAAATAGAAAAATAGCATCAGAAAATAGTCGTTGGACATTCATAATATCATAAAGAAAATCAGGATGTATTCAAAAACATTTATTCTTTGAAATGGATATATTTTTCAAATTTGAATTGCCATAATTGATTATATTACCAGTATAATTAATTATGATAGAGAAAATCATTTTTCCATTTCTGGTGCATCATAATTAATTATGACAGTGAAAAATATCATGTTATGAATTTTATCACACTTGTGCTTTGGAGGCTTATGCATAATATTACTTCATCAACTTGTACCTCCATATCCAGTATTCTAAGACTCTATCTAGTCTTCAGGAATCATCTTGGGCTTGCTTGAATCATCATCTTTATCAAAAACATATATTGGGCATGTAGGGAAATGTTTCACATTGTCACCTACGTCATAAATTCAACTTGTCCTTAAATTCATCTTGAATGGTGTTGACTTGAATCATCATCAAAATCATCTTTTGGGAATGCAGGAACATTTCCATCAATCTCCCCCTTATTGCTTTCAATCTCCCCCTTTTTGATGAGATCAAGGAAACACCTGAAATGAATTAAAATGCTTGACTCTATATAGCCAGCTCAAGATTAGCACAGATTTGTATCAAGTGTCAGAGTCTCTTAATCTCCGCCTGGATATATTAATAACAAGACTCTCCCTAACTCATATGAGCAAATACTTCTCTTAACTCCCCTTGTTTAATTTATATAGGAAAGAATTTCACACGTATTTTAATTCATAAAAAAATCTCCCCCTGTTTCATTGATAATCATAAAAAGATATTATAAGAAAAAATATTCCCCTATTTCACACAGATTAATATCATCAAAATATCTTCATGTTTCATTGATAATTAAAAAAATATTATAAGAGAAAATCTCCCCCTGCTTTAGACAGATTAATATCATCAAAATATTTCCATGTTTCATTGATAATTATGAAAAATATTATAAGAGAAAAAAAATCTCTCCCTGTTTCACACAGATTAATATCATCAAAATATTTTTCTGTTTCATTGATAATTATGAAAAATATTGCAATAGAAACTGAGAACAAATTTGTACCTATTAGTATATAAATCAAGGTAGAGAAGATAATGCATTAAAAAGTGTCATAGAAAAGAATATCATATTAAGGAAACAATATCTAGGATACCCAAGACAAATGAAGAGAGAGAAAGATAGGGGAATAAAATGATTATAGAGATAATGGAATTAAATGCAGTACTTTCCCTCCATTGCAGTCTTCTTATTTAGGCAACTTTCAAATTCAAATGCACTCATATTCCAGATTTCAAATTTCAAATTCAAATTGCAACAAATTTAAAATTTCAAATTCAAATTTCTAATCCCAAATTTCAAATTCAAATTTCAAATTTTCATAAATTCAAACTTTCAACATAATTGATTATGACAACAAGAAAAAAAAATCTGATTCTGATAATCAATTAGATGCTCAAATTATCATCTAGATATGTATAAATGCTTTGTTCCTTTAGGCACCCATTCATATTTTCCATTAGATATGCCAAAATGTTTTATGTAACATATATTTGATGTATGACCTAATTTCATGCAATAAAAACATGTTGGTTTTCTTTGAAAAGGTCTAAATGTGTTTCTTAAAGTTTTTGAAACTGGTTTCACATCTGTTTTCCTTGACTCTTTCACAAAAATAGTTTTATGAGGTTCTAGACTTTCTTTAGGTTTGTAACCAAGTCCAGCTTCGCTA